ATGTTTCAAAAATAAAACTATTAAAATTTCTCTAAATATACTTTTACTTAATAAATATATTTATATCGTAATACAGATTCCCAAAATATTAAAATACAGAATCAAAACACTCAATGCTCTTACAAAATTTTTATTGTATTTACACCTATTTGTTCAAGAATGAAACGTACGTGTTCTTTTCAATGTGCAATAATTACTACTACAGCAGTCTCTGCAAACCACAATATTAATCTATTATTATATATTCTACACATGTATAATAAAAACTAAAACATGTTCAACCACCCCCCAAACACATAACAAAAAAACCTTCTTAAAACCAATGTTTAACCATTATTTTTATGGTTTTATTGTATTTTTATGCATCTAATACAATATTACAGGTTATCAATGACGCATATATTACACGTTAGGTTTGAGCAAAGAACATATATTAAACTTTACCTTAGATTAAATTACCCAATTCATTGACATCCATTCACGATAACATTTACATACAAACAAAATAACTGATAATTCACCGATAACTAACACTAAAAATATTAATTCTGATATACATAGTTTTTAGATAATTCCAAAAACACCGAAACAAGAAAAGTTACAATGACAAACAGGCTATCTTAAATGTCCCACAAAATAAAACAAAGGTTATAAGTTGTGACATACAAACACAAAAAAGTAGTCTCACAATAACACAAAACATACAAGTCGACAAAACATCCATGCCAACAACACAGAAAAATGACACACTTACAAATATAGATCAACATATACAAAGAAGTGACAAACAAGAAACTCAGAAACACTTGACAGGTTCAAACCACACGACAGACACAAACTCACGACAGTCACACAACGACCCGACAGACATACAAACAACACGAACAACGTGAATCAGCAAAATAGACATATCACAAAACATACAAATAGAAAAAATCACACGTCACAGGTCCCTTGACATACAAACTGGACATCCGACATATAAATATACATCGACATAAATACGCATGCCAGACTTTGCAGCACGTGAGAAACAGGGCTTGCGGGATGCTGCATACAAACATGCCACCTTACATGCTATAAATCACCCCAATTTCTACCCAACAACAAAAAAACTTTTGAACGCAAAATATGTATTTAAATTGTTTTAGGTAGTTGAATATATGAAATGCTTATTAGTTTTGTTTTTGGTTTTAAAATTGCAATTATTAACGCAAAGTAAAAACCTTTGCAAATAAGTTATATTGTTAATATTTAAAAATTAGTTATGACTATTCTCGTGACTACAACAGATATATTTAAACGATAAATTGATTAATTTCTAATTATATCACTTTATTAATCGCATTGTCGTATCACATTATAATGTTTTTTCGATGATTGCAGCTAAACATAGTACTAAATAGCGTGTTCTAAAATTAACTGCACGCACTGCCTATATTGAATTACATGTACTCATGTTGGCCACGACTTTTGAAACATCATAGGTCTAAAATTATTCTACTTCTGACATACGACAACATTACTCACTTATCAAAGTAAATTTAAACGAATTAACAATTTATTATTGAAAAATAATGTATAAAGTAAAGGAATTAAAAATCAAATTCACTGTCAACGTTGTTGTGTTTTTTGTTGTTTTTTTGGAAAAGTTTGTGATAATCTGAACTGCCGCTCAAAACCGCACATGTTTTGCCCGCCCAAAACTGCACATGCATGTGTCGCAAATGTTTGCCCATTAGTCGGTATTCCCCAAGGTCTTTTTTTTTGTCCCTTTCCTATCAAACGGCAGAATTCTGCTTAATCTGGCAACCCCGGTGAGAAACTCGTCAGAGATAGACATCCATCTCAAACATACGCACATTCACTCACGACACTCTTGACTGGAAGAAAAATAATATCATCTCATCAACGACAATTTTGTATACACCACACTTAAGCACATTCGCGACACGCATACTCAAACACGGCATACACGTATTCATGCTTTACACAACAAAACATGCACAAGTCCGCACACACGGCAAATATACGCATATGAACCACATGGACACACTACACCCGCACACACTTGACATTGGCTCACACGTGCCCCCAATACGACACACATGCTCACACTTGAAACACGCTTACCACACACTTCACACATGCTCACACTTCACATTGGCTCACACGTGCACACACACGACACATGCTCACACTTTAAACATCCTCATTCTCGAAACAAGCTCACACTTGAAATATGCTCACGCTACACATATGTACATGCACATGCAATACATACGCAATATCTACATACAGACAAGATATAAACGCATAGACAGTCACGCTGAGTACATAGAGAAAACAAACACATAAACAGTTTAAAATAGTGGACGCACAAACCCGTTGACACAAAAACACGCAATGATCTTCATGTGTTAAGGACCTCACCATTCAGACACACATTGGTTGACAGATCTTAGTCAGACATTGTCCATTGACAGATAATCAAGAATTGATAGATACTGATGAAATACTCAGCGGTAAATCATTCCCGCTATGAGGCATTGAGTATATATTTACACAATACATTTACAGACACAGACCACACATAACTTTCTTCGTCATCGGGCGGTCATAAATGTCGGTAAGTCTATTTGGATACATCACAACTGCTGCCCTCAATTGGGAATTTTCTGATGTCGCCGCAAATGTCAAGCCCCAGCACATTATATTAACACCACATTCTCAGACACAGACAACAAACAACTACACTCTGAGGCAATCACAGACAATCAAACGCGCACCTTGGTAACATATCAAATAAAAAAAATTCTCAAATTAGTGTATCAAAACACACATTCAGTGACACATCAAAACACATATTGACAAACATTTCGAAATATACATTCACACCCATATGAAACTCACATCTTCACAGACATATCAAACCCTCAAATTTAGAGGCATGTCAAAACACATTCAGACCTCAAAACATACCCATTAATTAAAATGTCAAAATTCACACATTAACAGATATATCATTAGACAAACATTCACAGATATTTCCAAACACCCACACACACACACACACACACACACACACACACACTTACATTCACTCACATTTGAAACACACATTTACAGTCATATCAAACAAACATTATAAGTATATCAACCCACATCTTCACAGAGAAAACAAACACACCCATTACCAAACACACACCGACTTTTCAAACCCACTCTCTCACTAATATATCAAACGAACACATTCACAGACATCAAAATATCCCTTCACAGACATAAAAAACTTATAAGTTGACATTCACATCAAACTCACACCTTCAAAGATTTATCAAACACATTTTAACAAACATCAATGGCACTCTTTCGCAGATATATAAAAAACATTCTTTCACAGACATCAAACACAATGATACCCACAGACTTCGTACACACGCATTGATTTTCAAACAGCAAAAAATTATTCCTTTGCGAAATAGATTGACAGATTCAAATAATGTACCGATATACATTTACTCCTATGCACACATATAGCTGACTGGCACGCATTTGACTGAGAGTAGGCATATTTACTGACTGACGCGTTTACATACGAAGACCCACGATTACTTAAATCCACTCACGTTCACTCACCAGCTCGTGCGTTAGCACACCTTCACACATTTAATTGACTAGGACACACATTGACTAGGGCAAACGTTAGAAGACTATACTTCACATTAACTGACTAGCATTCATTTCGACCAACTAGCACACAGTTTTCTTAAGGTAGAATTCGACAAGAACACACTTTGACTAGCACACACTTTAAGGCATACTTTCACTAGTACCCACTTACACTGACTAACATACACTTTGACTAGGGCAAACTTTGACTAGCATACTTTTTCTGTCAGAGATACACGCTTTGAGGGAGATAAGGGAGACGTACAGGAACACACAAACCTGCAGCCAGACACAGACCCACTGCAGCACATACGGATGAGCAGAAACACACATACGCAAGCAGGCAAGCAGAAATCTAAATGATACAGGGAGATACAGACGCACACACAGCCTTGCTAGCACATACAGACGAATAGGGGCACACACGCAGGCATGTTAGGAATAGAGACTATTTCAGACAAAGACACTTAGACTACATCATGAACATAAAATTCAGACACATATACATGCATATTAGCAATCAGACACACATTAAGGCGTACAAAACAGATAAACATTCACACAAACAGAAACGCTTGCAAACGCATTCACACATTCATAAATGCATTCACAGGCACAAAAATGCTTTTGCAGCCACTAAATGCATTCACAATCACACAAATGCATTCACTGACGAGTGCATTTCGAGACATATAAACCGTTCACTTAAAAGCAAACACAGACAAAGGCAAAACATCATTTTCACAGATATAGAAATACACTTGAGCATCTACAGACCGGTTGGCTGGGCGACAGGCGGAGGCACAGGTTGGCACACGCGGCTGTAAATAGAGATGGGCAAACATTGATGCCCAGCAAAGCAGACACTCACGTACAGGAAGGCACAGACTGACGCACAGTAAGACAGATACTGACGTAGGGACATACAGCCTTCTGACGCATGTGACAAGACATACGTACAGGCTAGTTGACTTTCACAAATGGAGGTGCGGACGCAGACAGGTAGGCATAGAACCTGGAAGAAAAATACAGGTGGGCATAGAATAACTAAAAACACAATCTGGCTAAAAAGGCCACCGCCGCCCGAACACAGACTGGCAGACACAGCAAAGCTCGAAAGGCGAACAACAGACAGGAACAGATAAGCAGGCACAGCTAACAAGAGACAGGCACAAGTATATACAGGAAATTACAGATAGACATAAAAACCCAGACAGAAACAAAATCCGAAGGACTCCAGCGAAGCGCGTCTATACACTAAGGGTCCTTGCAGTCCAACTCGTTCAACCGTCTAATCAGGCTTTTATCTCTCGCCATGCACCACTGTTCTAAATCGCGCCGCCGTCCAGTCCCACGCCGCCGTCAAGTCCCACGCCGCCGTCAAGTCCCACGCCGCCGTCAAGTCCCACGTCGCCGTCAAGTCCCACGCCGCCGTCAAGTCCCACGCCGCCGTCCAGTCCCTCGATGCTATTTTTTTAACAGAAGATATATATCCATATTATTTTACTTAACGAAATCACATTCACAGTGCTACAACACTATGTACTCGCATATCGCATTATTACTATAATTTAAAGTTTTTAAAATTTTAAATAATTCTATCGAAACCAGACAAATCATGTTTTTATAAATACTTTTCTCTGTGCGTGCAAAAATTAGGCAATTTAAGAGAAAATAAAATTATAATTATTTCAAGTATTTGATTTCCGAAAATTGCTAGTTTACTTCAACAATTTGTCCAAAAAATCTAGATTGTAAACGAATTTCATAACATAATTATTGTATTTATGGTCATTAAAATATAAAAAATATAATCATACAACTATTTATTCAATGTTTTACAAGAAAAATATTTTCTTTGTTAGCACCGCTTTTTCTTTGATGTATATAAAGATCTCAGTTTTAACACTAATCATTTTCAATCTAATTTTTTTTCTCTCCAGCCTATTCGCCTTACGCCAATTGGTCAAACTGAGTCTGGTTTTAATTGTTGTAGTAATTACGAACAGCATCAAAGACGCTAATTTCCAGGGTACATAAGTAGCTTAATATTAGTATGGCCAACCTAATAACCAAAAGGTATTAATCGGATATTATTGAATACTAATGAATAATGGCCCTGTCATTGCATTTACCTACAATAGAGCGTCGTCCATTCCCGCGCCGCCGTCCAGCTCCATGCCACCGATCACTCTCGCAAAGCTGTTTTGAAACAGAAGACCATTATTGAGTTAAATAAACCGAAATGGAAAAGTAATAGTGCGCCAGCGGTGCTATCGCAGGAACTCACCACGGCCCCTGTGCTTTGTGCGCAAGTGCTTCTGCAGGTGGTCGCTCCGCTGGAAGCGAAACCCGCAAATGGCGCACTTGTGTCGTCGCTCCCCGGTGTGCACACGACGGTGGCGCACCAGCTCATCCTTCCGCGCGAAGCTACTCGAGCACCCAGGCCACTCGCACGCGTGCGGCGTTAGCCCCGCGTGCTTGAGCAGGTGCTCTCGCAGGTGCGCCTTTTTCGTGTACGATTTGGGGCAAATCGTACACGCGTGTCGACGGGGGGCAGGGCGACGGACCGGAGGAGCTGGAGGTTTTCCGATTCGTATAAATTTTTTCCTGGAAGAACTACTACCTGGAGTACACAAGTCATTAATTGATAAAATGGATGTACACACATGAACCGTTCGTCGGTACAGACCACAAGCAGTTTTATTTGGAGAAAGCATGGGAAGGTGTGTACAAAACAACTATATGAACTGGCATCCTCACGGTCTCTCCAGCGAATTTCCCCTTGTTTTCTGAGACCGCGTTTTCTGTCATTTTTGGTTAGAAAGAATTGGGTTCATGCTCACAAAGTGGAGAGAGGCATGCAACTTGTGCTTGAAGCGGGACTGAGAATAGAAAATTAAACAAATATTTTGTAACCGTGATCCTCAGATTCAAGGGCGTTTAAGTATCTGTGACCATTTCATTCCTAAGGCTTCTATAGAACCGTCGATCCTGTAGAAATTGAAGTCCCTAAAAGAAGCTTTGCCGATATTAGGAATCGGAATCTGCAGTTGCTACTGTTTCCTTCATTGCTGAGAATGGGTACAATCTTCGACAGTTTTTTCTTATTTCTGGTTTCGGGGAATCATGTATATGCTATCTGTTACCACTCTATATTTCTGGAAGTGTGTGATTGTCTCTGTGTTACTTCTGCAATTACGTAGTTTCATGACGAGACCATTCACTGCGGTACCTGAATAATAAACTGGTCGAATTGTTAGGAGAAACTTGTCTTCTAGCCACTAAAGGACATTCAGTGCTGGCGATATGGAGATGTGAACCATTGAAGTTTTCAAAAACTTTTACAAATAAGTGTATATATTATATATATATATATATATTATATATATAATATATATATATATATATATTATATATATATATATGGACATTAGCTCTGGAAGACTTGCGTGAGTGCAATTTAGCACTTTTTTTAGTGAGAATATCCGTAAGTGTAAATGTTAACTGAAGTGGTCGTCGTTTTGTTGAATATCTGACTACGCTTTTTTTAAAATAATACTTTTATTTCTATGATTACATGCAGACGAAGTATTTAAGGGTGAAAACCCAAAATCATTCAGTAATTAAATAAATATTTTTTTTACGTGTTTGGCCCATTTTAAAAAAATGGTGGCTTTAATATATTTTAATTCATCACTGTCTGTAGCTTTTCTAAAATTACCAAGAATTAAAGGCACATTATACTCGAATCTTGTTGCACTAAGAGAGAGGTAATTTGCTGAATTTCTGACAAGCGACTGCACACTGCAATGGCCGCGGTGCTGTCTGGCGGACCTACGTTCGGAAGAACAAAGACGGAAGCGATCTCAGGGAATGCCGTGTACTGGTTGTCATGAAACGCACCAAACCTTCAGTTATCCAATTTGTGATTTTTAAATTCTAACTACTGCTTACGCAGTTGCGAAAAAATATTTTCTTTTATTGTTGCGGTGAAAAATGGCAAAATCTTAAAGAAAATGCTTTAATTTTTTGTCGTTGTAGGCGAAAAATCGAATTCTTCCTGTCTCTAATTATAGTAATTTGCTTCCTGTAACATGGTAGTCACAGTTCATATTTTTAAGCCCCGTTACAAAATCGAGTGACTGCAAAACACGGTGTATCTGACTTCCGTCGTTCCGTCCGTCTCTCTGTGAACGCTAGCAGCTACGGCTATAGGTAGGATTTTTACCAAAATTATATTCTCCAATCAATCTAGATTCTGGTGTCTGGTGTCGCGATCTCTTGAGTAAGACATAGATATTATATTAATTTGGGGGAACTGTACGTGAAGTTCCTGGATAAATTTTTAAATTTTAAAAAGCATTTCATCAGATTTTTTGATTATATTTTGTTTTATTGACGATTTTGAGATAGCGATAACGGACCTTTAGA